AAAAATGGGCAACCGTTGCTTAGTAATAACAGACAACCCTTTTTATTGTGGTCTCCACTATCTTTTCAAAATTATCATTTCATATTCGTAGCACTTGGCCCATCATATGGAAAGCCGATTTGAAGTTCCAGGGGGGGGGGGAGTGGTACAGGAGAAAATTGACTTGCCAACAAAGTCTATGGCTTGCCAAAAAAAAAAAAAAAACCCCACAAAATGTTGAATCTCAGAAATGACTCCCGATGATTTATTGTGACAAGTTCCCAGCCATTATTGTTACAGGGATCTCCTCAATTTCAATTCCATCCAGAGGCCTGGATTGAAAACACAATCAGCGCATTCAATCACCAGCTGCGAAGCTGGCCAGTGGTTTAAATATAAAAGCCGAGGGATGACAGTTATGGTCAATCTGGAGGAAGAAGAAAAAATGCCCAATTGAAGCAAGGTAAAATCTCGGGCCAAAATCAGTCTTGACAGCAGCACAAAAAAGTTACATCCTCTCAGAGACCACATCTTTGAAAATCCCTGAGTGCTTCAGGAGCACAGAAGGAAAAGAAGGCAGATAAAGGTAGAGGAAAGATCTATCTATCTGAAATGGTCTACGGGTCTCCTGCTTCAGCAGGGGGTTGAACTAGAAGACCTCCAAGGTTCCTTCCAGCTCTATTCTATTCTAATAATGCATCCAGTTTTGGTCGCCACCATGTAAAAAAGATGTTGAGACTCTAGGAAGGGTGCAGAGAAGAGCAACAAAGATGATCAGGGGACTGGAGGCCAAAACATACGAGGAACGGTTGCTGGATTGGGGATGTCTAGTAATTTAATGAAGAGAAGGACGAAGGGAACATGACAGCAGTCTTCCAGTATCTTAGGGGCTGCCCCAAAGAAGAGGGAGTCAAGCTATTCTCCAAAGCGCCTGAAGGCCAGACAAGAAGCAACAGGTGGAAACTCATCAAGGAGAGAAGCAACCTAGAACTAAGGAGAAACTTCCTGACAGTTAGAACAATTGACCAGTGGAACAACCTGCCTCCAGAAGCAGTAAATGCTCCAACACTGGAAGTTTTTAAGAAGAGACTGGACAGCTATTTGTCTGGAATGGTATAGGGTTTCCTGCCTGAGCAGGGGGTTGGACCAGATGACCTCCAAGGTCCCTTCCAACTTTATTCTGTTATTCTAGAGTAGCTCAGCTGCCTCCTACAATTCATGCTTTGTTCCTTTCCCGCTACTTCAATTTCATCTGAGCTAGAAGGGACCTGCATAATGAACAAATTTTCAGCACATGGTAGTTGGCATTACAGGGGGTTATTCTTCCTGCATTAGCGGCTTTTGTAATAGAAATAATAACAGAGCAAGGGTGCAATTAGTTATTGCATTATTTAGCTTGATGCAATCCTCTGATTAGACTTCACATATTTTGCATTTCAGTGCTTTGTACGCGCTGCTGTTTTTTTTATTATGGATCATCGCACAGTCAGCCAGATGTTCAGACTGGATTTGGCATTTTGTCTACCTATCGAGTCCTTACCCAGGACCTGGGATAGGCAGATGTGGATGTTTGATGGTATTACAGGTATCGTCGCAGGATGGAAGCAGTTCCTAGTAAGGCCGTCTTTTGCAATTGACTAATAGCGAATTTGTCAATGCCAATGGTGTTCAAGTGGTGCTCCAGTTGTTTTGGGATTATTATTATTATTATCATCATCATTTTCAATGTTTACTCATAGAATGAACGTTAGTGTTCTTTCACCCTATGGACAGATTGTAGCTTACAGAACTGTAAGTGACTCGCTTAACAACGGGGGCGAGAAAAACCGTGAAAGGGGGCAAAGCTCACTTCTTTTCTCGCTTAGCAAGAGGCATTTTGGCTCAACTGTGGTTGTAAGTCGAGAACTACCTATAGCAGACTATGACTGAGTCGCCCTTGATATTTTTTTTTTTTTTACTTCCCTGTGTTCTTTATTCTGAATTTAATGCATGCTTGGAGAAGCTGGATTTAAGCAGAATAATAGCCCTGCTTTTTCCCCCCTTTTTTAAAAAAATCTTTTCCTGATCAGAAGCCACCGCACAGCACCTTCTATTAACCTCGTAGGAGAAAAGCAAGGAGAAAATTCAACCGGGCATCCTCAGCTTGCAAAAACACACACACACACACACACACACACACACAGAAAAACCCAGGGAACTTGCTCAGTAGATTTACCAGGGAGTGAAAATGGAGTCAAAGTGATTATCCAGTCTATTTAGCTAATAAGGGTAGATCTAAAATTGGGTTTCCCATAATACAGCTTCCTCTTCCGGCTTCGCTTCAAGCTAAGAGCTACGGCGGTTAATAAGTAGGCTTCAGTGGCTACCGTGCAAGTCTTTAAGGAGAAGAACTTACATCCCACGATGACAAATTGTGACTGGAAATATCAGCTGGCAGTTCTGCATTCTTCTCCCAGAAAGAACACCAAATTCTACAGGCCCCCATTCCCCTCTCACAGCACCCGTACCCTGCAATCCGAGTCTATGGCAACTCTCCATGGGAGAAGGGTTAGACCAGTGGTTCTCAACCTTTTTAGTGCCGCGATCCCCAACCGGTCGTAAGTCGAGGACTACTCAACCAGTTGTAAGTCGAGGACTACTCAACCTGGTGCAGCACCTTTTTCAGAATGGGACTTTTGGCGGGCTCAGCAGGGCAGAGACAGCCTGGACAATTCCTATTGGCTTTGGAAAGCCAATAGAATTAGACTCTATTCAAGAGAGTCTATTCTATTGGCTTTCAAAAGCCCATAGAATAAAAGGGAGTAGCACAGCCAAGGAAAAGGGGAAAAAAATGGCGGACTGCGTTGTTTGGCGACCCCCGTGAAATGGTCGTTCGACCCCAAATGGGGTCCTGACCCACAGGTTGAGAACCACTGGGTTAGACTAAAATGAAAGAGATGTTGACATAAAGCCATTAAAGAAAGGATGCAAAAGGAGGGACAGATTAAAATGTGATTTTTTTATTTATTTTAAATAATGAATAGAATAGAATAGAATAGAATAGAATAGAATAGAAATTAGAATAGAGTAGAATAGAAATTAGAAGAGAATGGAATGAAATGGAACAGAATACAGGAAATAGGGAAGAGGGAATAGGAAATAGAAGAGAAGAAAGAGAAGAAATGGGAAGGGAAGGGAAGGGAAGGGAAGGGAAGAGAAGAGAAGAGAAGAGAAGAGAAGAGAAAGAAGAAGATGGAAAGAGAAGAGAAGGGAAGAGAAGAGAAAGAAGAAGATGGAAAGAGAAGAGAAGGGAAGAGGAGAAAAGGAGAGGAGACGAGAGGAGAGAAGAGAAGAGAAGAGAAGAGAAGAGAAGAGAAGAGAAGAGAAGAGAAGAGAAGAGAAAGAAGAAGATGGAAAGAGAAGAGAAGGGAAGAGGGAAAAGAAGAGAAAGAAGAAGATGGAAAGAGAAGAGAAGGGAAGAGGGAAGAAAAGAAGAGAAAGAAGAAGATGGAAAGAGAAGAGAAGGGAAAAGGGAAGAGAAGAGAAGAGAAGAGAAGAGAAGAGAAGAGGGATTCTTTATTGGCCAATTCTAAATTTGTGTCCGGTGCCAAAGCTCACCGCGTACATACAAACAGCAAAGTGATAGGCCATAGGTGATAAATCATAGCTACAATCATTAATCGTTAACTTACAAACAACCATTGATAAACCATAAGAAACCAATAGGAGAAGATAGCAAGAAAAACAAAATGAGGAAAAAATGAGAAACAAGAGTGCTGTGGATTCTACGTGTTCAGCAAAGTGATGGCACAGGGCAGGTGGGGGGGGACTACCTTTACGCCTGGTTGTTTTGGCATGCCAATAAGGTGTTCATTTAAAAAAGAGACAACAGGTATTTCAACAGCCTGCAAGCCCAATAGCTCAAAGAAAAAACACAACAGCCATTCCCGAGGATCAGCTGGTGTGACATTTCTCCCTTCAACCATTGCAGAGGGAAAAGCCTTAGTTCTACCACCGCCAGGCAGCTTAATCATCATTAAAGCCTGCGATGTTATATGTAATCTGTGAGAATGAGAGGAATGTCAGGTTTGTCCTGGCCATGTCCCCCTGGTTGATGGGTGACCCAACGAGACAACAAGACAATCTCCAAGACAATCTCCATTGCAAAACACACTGTAAATCAGGCTGATAAGGCATCTAAGGGCTTCAGTAAAAATAACTTAAGATCTCCGGGATAGTTGTTCGTCTTTTAAGTTGCTACAGGACCCCTTGTACTTTTATCCATGACAAATTAACATTGTGAGCCCTGTGGCAATAGTAGGTCTCCTAGCCTACATCTTAAAAGCCAGATCTGTCTTTTATTGATCTTCAGGAAGTAGCCGGGGGGATTTTTGCAGCTGAAATGTGGAATAAAAATGTCCTAGGCAGGTATTATAAGAAACGGTGGTGTACATATTTCACAACACACACACACACACTCCAAAAAGTAGGACCGGTCCTTCACGCACATCCAAAATTTACATCTACTAAATTCGAATCAAGATTTATTGGGACGATCGAAAATCAATCGGATTCCATGACTAATTACACCAAAAGCTACAAATTATTTCAGGAACTGAACCTGCTCAGAACTGACAGCACAACTTTCAAGCGTCAACTGATGGAGGGGCTGTAAAGCAATGGGCATTTCCAGACACAGATATTCGCCACTCCTGCAAAGACTCATATTTATTTATTTCTGAGAAAGATTTTTAAATCCGCCTGTCTGAAGTTTCTGGGCAGCACATAACTCGAGTTGATACACAGAAGACATTGGGCTTACAGAAGTGAATTTGCTGCCACTAAGACAGGCATGCTTTAGGGGAATTTCTGCGTCTATCTCATAATTTTGTATCTGCAGATTCCAAAATTCAACAACTCCAATTCCGTCTGAACGTTGAGAACCTGTTCCTCAAAGAACACCCACCTCAAAGACCAAAGCAGAGAGAAGACCGTCGCTGAGAACACTAAAATTCACCTGGACCAGCGTTGGCTTTGCTTACCTCAAATATGTTGGATGTCTCATTAGGATACGGATGGGAGATGATTTCCGATTGGTCACTGTACCACTTAAGCCCACCCAGGAAGCCGCTGTCCTCCAGATCGTTGACATCTAATTCGGAGAGATCAAGTTCCGGAAGGTCTGGACAGAGAGGTTGGTCTTCCCCAACTAAAGCAGCACACTAAGAAAAACAAAGGAGAAAAACAAGAGAAATGGGATAAAATGGAGAAGAAGGAGAAGGGGAAGGGGGAAAAGGAGAAGAAGAAGGAGAAGGAGGAGAAGGAGGAGAAGAAGAAGTAGGAGCAGGAGAAGAAGGAGAAGGAGGAGGAGGGGAGGAGGAAGAGGAGGAAGAGGAGAAGAAGAAGAAGAAGAGGAGGAAGAGGAGAAGAAGGAGAAGAAGGAGGAGGAGGAGGAGGAGGAGGAGGAAGGAGAGTAGGGAGAAGAGAAACAGGGGGAGAAGAAGGAGAAGGAGAAGAAGAGGAGAAGAAGATGGAGAAGAAAAAGAAGAGGAAGAGGAGGAGGTGTCACATGATCCCCTTTTGTGACTTTCTGTTGCGCAAAGTCAAGGGGGAAGCCAGATTCAATTAACAACTGTGAATCTGCACTCAACAACTGCAGTAAGTCACTGAACAACTGGGGCAAGAGAGGCCGTGAAATGGGGCAAAACTCACTTAACCAATGTCTCATTTAGCAGCAGAAATTTTGGGCTCAATTGTGGCCGTACGTCGAGGTCTACCTGCTACTTACTCCAGGTTCTTTTAACCCTGTGCATAGGCACCAACCATCTCTGAAAATAAAACTCATTTGCTGAATTAAAATCTTCAGCACCGGCCCTACCAACAGAACAACAGAATAACGGAGTGGGAAGGGACCTTGGAGGTCTTCTAGTCCAACCCCCTGCTCAGGCAGGAAACCCTACACCATTTCAGACAAATGGCTGTCCAGTCTCTTCTTAAAAACTTCCAGTGTTGGAGCCTTCACAACTTCTGGAGGCAGGTGGTTCCACTGGTTAATTGTTCTCCCTGTCAGGAAGTTTCTCCTTAGTTCTAGGTTGCTTCTCTCCTTGATCAGTTTCCATCTATTCATCGATCCATCCATCCATCCATCCACCCACCCACCCACCCACCCACCCACCCATCCATCCATCCATCCATCCATCCATCCATCCATCCAATCAACCAGCCACTGATTAATTGTTCTCACTGTCTGGAAATTCCTCCTTAGTTCTAGGTCGCTTCTCTCCCTGACCAGCTTCCATCCAGCCAGCCAGCCAGCCATCTATCCATCCATCCATCTATTCATCCATCCATCCACCCACCCACCCAAGAGCAGTCTTTAAGTAGAGAACAAGGTGGAGTGTTATCCCACCTCCCTCCTTCCTCCAAACCAGCTATTAGCAGATCACTGGGATGAACCTGGACTTGGTCTTTCAGCAGCAGCTGTCCATCTCCAGTCCAAGCACGAAAGGAAGAAGCATCTGAAATGTCACCAGGACAAGGCCAGCTCTCCTTTCCCCTTCTTCTGCGAATCACGCCCAAAGTTATTATACACCTGTAAGAGGAGGCTTCCCCATCTGGGCTACACCTTTGTCATAATAAACAGGTGCTGAAATCCCTTTGTGGAACGAGAAAACAGAGCATCGGCCAAATAAGGACCGAATATCTATAAACGCCTCAAAATGGAGGGAGGGAAGGAAGGAAGGAAGGAAGGAAGGAAGGAAGGAAGGAAGGAAGGAAGGAAGGAAGGAAGGAGAGAGGGAGGGAGGAAGGAAGGAAGAAAGGAAAGAAGGGGAAGAAAGGGAGAGAGGGAAGGAAGGAAGGAAGGAGAGAGAGGGAGGGAAGGAAGGAGGGAGGGAGGGAAGGAAAGGAGAGAAGGAGATGAAGGGAGGAAGGAAGGAAGGAAGGAAAGAAGGAGAGGGAGGGAGGGAGGAAAGGAAAGGAGAGAAGGAGGGAGGGAGGGAAGGAAGGAAAGAAGGAGAGAAGGAGAGGGAGGGAGGGAAGTAAGGAAGGAGAGAAGGAGATGAAGGGAGGAAGGAAGGAAGGAAAGAAGGAGAGGGAGGGAGGAAAGGAAAGGAGAGAAGGAGGGAGGGAGGGAGGGAGGGAAGGAAGGAAAGAAGGAGAGAAGGAGAGGGAGGGAGGGAAGTAAGGAAGGAAAGAAGGAGAGGGAGGGAAGGAAGAACCGTCATAAATACGAGTCAGTTGCCAAGCGTCTGAATTTCTGATCACATGACCATGGGATGTTGTAATGGTTGTTTAGGTGTGAAAAATGGTCCTAAGTCGCTTTTTCAGCGCTGTGGTAACTTTCAACACTCACTAAATGAACTGTTGTAAGTTGAGAACCGCCTGTATTACGTCATAATGAAAAGTCAGGTTTCCAATGAAGTCACTTTATTCGGTCGATTTATCCGCGTTTAAGGAAAAATGGCGGATAATCCAAAACTTAGAATAGAACATCAGCGTTGGAGGGGGCCCTCGGAGGTCTTCTAGTCCAACCCCCCTGCTCAGGCAGGAGACCCTATAACCATTTCAGACAAATGGCTGTCCAGTCTCTTCTTAAAAACCTCCCCTGTTGGAGCATTCACCGTTTCTGTTCCACTGATTGATTGTCCTCCCTGTCAGGAAATTCCTCCTTAGTTCCAGGTTGCTTCTCTCCTTGGTGAGTTTCCATCCGTTGCTTCTTCTCCTGGCCTGGATAGGGGGCTTAGGATCATGGTCAGATGTCCAAGGCCAGAGATGGCAAAGAAGACCAGTTATATCTCATGTTCTAGTCTTCCTCCATGTTCTTGAGCAGTGTTTCTCAACCTTGACCATTTTAAGGCATGTGGACTTCAACTCCCAGAATTCCACAGCCAGCCAATGCTGGCTGTGGAATTCTGGGAGTTGAAGTCCACATGCCTTAAAATGGTCAAGGTTGAGAAACACTGTTCTTGAGTGAGGTCAACTAAGGGGGCACCAAAGTCCTCCCAACCCACGAATCTATCAACCTAGAACATAAGCAGAGATTTCTATCTGGAGAAAGCTGGAAAGGACTAAACTTTCTGGAAACATTTAAAATAAAGTCTTAGGGGAGGGAAGGAGGGACTGGGGGAATTATTACTGCAGAGTCCAAGTCTGCTATCGTGATGGCAATGTCCATATCTGAACCGAGAAATGAGGTCGACAGGCACCCCACCCACGATTAAGGCTACAATTTCGAATCCAGAGAGTACACAAAGCAGGTGAACAGATCACAGAGCAGAAGAGGGGGGAGGGGGAAGTATAATAGCTTTAGTATAATAGCTCCTTTATCCGTATCCTTTCCGAGTGTCAGTGGTACTAATCCTGGCGTGATCCGAGGTATCTGTGCGCTCACCGTATATCGTGTGCAAAGGAACAAAAAAGATTCGTCGACGTTACTGTAAAAAAAAAAAAAAAAAAAAGACCTGCCTTTCCCAGTCTAAATGCTAATAGAAACAGGGTCCTTCTCTTGATGTACAAATGAAAATCTAGGGCCTTGTCTGAAAAATTACAATGCTTAGAACTCTTCTCCAGGTTGGGGTTATGGACGTCAAAAGCTCAAGAACCAGGAGTGTGCAAAACAGCTTGCCAGGCTGTTGTTGTTGCTTGCCAGGTTGTTGTGCCAGGTAATTGTTGTTGTTGTGCCAGGTTGTTGTTGTTGTTCTTCTTCTTCTTCTCTTTCTCCTCCTCCACTTCTTCTCTTCTTCTTCTCCTCCTCTTCTTCTCTTCTCTTCTCTTCTTCTTCTCCTCCTCTTCCTCCTCCTTTTCTTTTCCCTCCCCTCCTCCTCTTCCTTCTCCTCCTGTTTCTCTCCTCCCTACTCTCCTTCCTCCTCCTCCTCCTCCTTTCTTCTTCTTCTTCTTTTTCTTCCTCCTCCTCCTCCCCTTCTTCTTCTTCTTCTTCTTCTTCTTCTTCTCATCCTCCTCCTCCTTCTTCCTCCTCCTCCTTCTTCTTTCTCCTCCACTTCTTCTCTTCTTCTCCTCCTCTTCTTCTCTTCTCTTCTTCTTCTCCTCCTCCTCCTCCTTCTCTTTTCCCTCCCCTCCTCCTCTTCCTTCTCCTCCTGTTTCTCTCCTCCCTACTCTCTTTCCTCCTCCTCCTCCCCTTCTTCTTCTTCTTCTTCTTCTTCTTCTTCTTCTTCTTCTTCTTTCTTCTTCTTCTTCTTCTTCTTCTTCTTCTTCTTCTTCTTCTTTTCTCCTTTCTTCCTCCTCCTCTTCTCCCTACCCTCCTTCCCCTCTTCTTTTCTGTCTAGTTAAAAGGGGCTACCTTCTCAGAACAAGTCCACAGATGGACACACACACTGCAGAGGCCATCTTGGAGCCACCTAAGAAATAACCCTGTAGTAGCATTCCTGATCCTGTGCTTCTGAAACAGACACCACTCCAGTGCAATTTTCATTTAGTCTGAATGACTGCGGTGTGTCGCTTTAACCACCCCCCAAAGGGAGAGTTACAGAGGGCGGGGAGGGGGAGGCAGATCAGAGAGAATAGCCCAAGTGAAAAAACAAACAACCCCCCCCACCATCCATTCTTGTCCATGTTGACATGGTAATAAAATTAATCCTTCTGGATAGAGGCTGGCAGTTCTGACTCCAGACACATTAGTAGCAAGTGTTCCTGTTATTAGTTTAGCTTTGGCCTTTGGGTGATGCCAGCTTGAACATGCTAACTCTTATCACTGTCCTCGTTTGACTTGCAGAAATTTGGCGTTTGCTGTGCGCTCTCTCTCTCTCTCTCTCTCTCTCTCTCTCTCTCTCTCTCTCTCTCTCTCTCTCTCTCTCTCTCTCTCTCTCTCTCTCTCTCTAACAGGTGCACCTTCTGCATTCCCACCCCTTCTTCTACTCCCAGCATAGGGACCAGGCTTCCCAATCCTACTCTTCGTTTTCTACGAGGCTTCAGGGGACATTTTGAGCCCTCCCCAAAATGCAAAGGCTAATCTGTCACACCCCCTCCCCCCAGACCCTCCCCACTCCCTGGTGGGCTTAGCAAAAATAAAAGAGCAAAGAATACATGAGTTTCACTGGGCCTCTGTGTTAATGAATCGTCATAATTAAGCAGACTTCCCCAATAACCTTTAGGGAGGCTCCGGTGCCTTTGAAGGTATTTTATTTATTTTATTTTTAAATAAAGTGATTGGGCGAAGAGGAGGGGAGCGCAGGCTAATCGCCAGTTATTAATGAAAACAATAATCTGCATTTCACAAGGTTGTCTTTTGAAAGAGAGCGGGGAGGCTTGGCACACTATTTGCAGCCACCTTGAACCCTCCTTAAACCCAGAGACCCTGGAGGGGGGGGGTTTGATCCATTTTGGGGGGACAGGCCGTCCTGGCCGGGACAGCATCAAGCATTTCTGGGCTGAAAACTCCCACTCCGAGTATTTCAACCCCTCTGGGGTGAAGCAGAAGCACTTTTAGGAACTGAAAAGGTGATCCCTCTGAAGGGCAGCAGTTGCAGGCAGATAGTAAGTTGGCGGCTGCATAGAGGATACCTCTTGCAGGCACACACACACACACACACACACACATACACATACAGGCACACAATGTACTAAACAACCTGCCGTTTAAAACACCACAGCCCCTCTCTTTCCAATAAGCAAAGCAATGCTAACCCAGGCTGGCTCACTAGCCTGCATTACATTTTTCTCACTACCAGGCTGAAATTCCTGCAGGAAAGCTGATGATTAAAATAGATGATCACCATTTCCACAGATACCGGGTTCCTCAAATAAGCAGCTCCTAAGACCGTTAGGAATAATGCATGACGGAAAAAGAGAGAAGAAAGAGGGAGGGAGGAGAGGACGCCACAGGGGAGGGAGGGAGGGAGAGAGAGAGAGGGAGGGAGAGAGAGAGGGAGGGAGGGAGGGAGGGAGAGAGAGGGAGACAGAGAGAGAGGGAGACAGAGAGACAGAGCGAGAGGGAGAGAGGAAGGGGGAGAGAGGGAGAGAGGGAGAGGGAGGGAGGGAGGGAGGGAGAGAGAGAGAGAGAGAGAGAGAGAGAGAGAGAGCCCGCACAATCAACAGCAGGGCAATAATCAACTGGATACTCCCAGCTATTCAGAAACAAATTAGAACATTTGGAGCCCGTAAAAGTCACCCAGGTTACAGCTTGGGGCCAGAAGAGCTACGGAGACCTATGAATTATCCATAGACGTTCACGTTACTTGGGAGTCAAAGCCCAGAGAAGACCAATTGCCCTAAGCAAGCAAACAGAACTTATTCCGGCAAAGTGAAAACAGAGTAAAATATTTTTAAAAAGAGAGAAAGAGGAGGAAGGAAGGAAGGAAGGAAGGAAGGAAGGAAGGAAGGAAGGAAGGAAGGAAGGAAGGAAGGAAGGAAGGAAGGAAGGAAGGAAGGAAGGAAGATAGGAAGGGATGGAAGGAGGGGAGGAAGGAGGGGAGTGAAGAAAGGAAGGAGGGAGAGGAGGGAGGGAAGAAAGGAAGGAAGAAAGATAGGGAGAGAGGGAAGTAGGGAAGGAAGGAAGGAAGGAAGGAAGGAAGGAAGGCAGGCAGATAGGAAGGGACGAAGGGAGGGAAGGAAGGAAGGGAGGGAGGGAGGGAGGGAGGGAAGGAAGGAAGAGAGGGAGGGAGGGAGGGAGGGAAGGAAGGAAGAGAGGGAGAGAGGGAGGGAGGGAAGGAAGGAAGGCAGATAGGAAGGGACGAAGGGAGGGAAGGAAGGAAGGGAGAGAGTGGGGAGGGAGGGAGGAAAGGAAGGAAGGAAAGAAGATAGGGAGGCAGGCAGAGAGGCAGAGAGGAAGGGAAGGAAGGAAGGAAAATAGGAAAGAATGAAGGGAGGGAAGGAAGGGAAGAGGAAGGGAAGAAGATGGGGAGAGAGGGAGGGAAGGAAGGAAGGAAGGAAGGGAGGGAGGGAGGGAGGGAGGGAGGGAGGAAGGAAGGAAGGAAGCTCTCACAACAAGGGGAAAATAATGACCAGATGGAAAACCCAAACTCCCCCACCCAGGATCGCCCCACGTCTTCTGCACCTCTGCACAGCGGAACCACCGGGGTGATCTCCCCCCCCCCCCGTCCAAAGAGCCTTCGGAAGGCCGCGCCTTGCGGGCTTCCTCCAGATAAATCCACACGAAATCCCGCGGGTGGGGCGTCATTTTTTTTTTTCGGGGTCCTAAAGTTTCTCCAAGTTTGAAGAACTTCTTCGGGCGCAGCCCCCCCCCCCAGGATACTCGGGGCGGCCAATCAGCCTCGCTCCGGGCGCGCCTCTCCGCTTCTTTACCCTTCCCTCCCTCGCCCCCCCGCCCCCTCCCCAATTATGAATCCTAGCCAATTGCATCTTCGCTGCATTGACTACTACTACTACTACTATTATTATTATTATTATTATTGCTGCTGCTATTGTTATTGTTATTGCTGTGGTTGTTGTTATTGTTGCTGTACTTGTTGTTGTTGTCCTTGTTGCTGTGTTAACTCCAGCAGCAGCGTCAGGAGCCCCAAAACTCCGATCCGCTCCGTCCCGGGCGGCGTCCTGGGCTCTTGGCCGGCCCAGCCCCGTCTGGCCGTCGGGATGAACCAGCCCGTCGCCCCCCCTCCCCGTCCTCTCCCCCAGGAGCGTCTCTGCCCCGAAAGAGGAAGGGGGGCATTCCCAACCTGTCACCCAGCCCCGGCTCGCCCGGGCGGATCGCCGCCTGCCAGCTGAAGCTGCGCCCCGGAGGAGGTCGCCTCTCTCGCTTCGCCCCCCCAGCCCCCCCTTTCGCCCAGCTTTGGAGGGGAGCTCGGTTCCTATCGAGGGGGGGAGACCCGCAGCCCAACCCGGCGACTGGAGAGGGTTAACCCCCCCCCGGAAAGTAGTTTTCTAGTGCAGAAAATCTCTTCCCGGCGCCCCCCCCCCAAAAAAAGAGAAGGAGCCGAGATCGGAAATAAAAAGCTGCCGAAGCAACCGAAGGCTAATCTTGAGACAGAGGGAGAGAAAGAGAGAGAGGGAATGAGAAGGAATGAGAGAGAGAGGGAGGGAGAGGAAGAAAGAGAACGAGGGAAATGGAATGAGGGAAGGAGAGAGGGAAGGAGAGAGGAAAAGCGAGGGGGGGGAAGGAGAGAGCATGAAAGAGAGAGAGCGAATGAGAGCGAGAGGGAATGAGGGAGGGAAGGGGAGAAAGGGAATGAGAATGAGAGAGGGAATGAGAGAGGGAATGAGAGAGGAAAGGAGAGAGGGGGAAGGAGAGCATGAAAGAGAGAGGGAAGGAGAGCGAGGTTGAATGAGGGAGAGAATGAGAGAGGGAAAAGCGAGAGGGAAGGTAGAGAGGGAAAGAGAGAGGGAACGAGAGAGGGAGAGGGAAAGAGGGAATGCGGGAGGGAGAGGGAAAGAGGGAAAGAGAGAGGGAATGAGGGAGGGAGAGGGAAAGAGGGAGGGAGAGGGAAAGAGAGAGGGAACGAGGGAAGGAAAGGGAGAGAGGGAAAGAGAGAGGGAATGAGGGAGGGAAAGAGGGAAAGAGAGAGGGAACGAGGGAAGGAAAGAGAGAGGGGGGCAATCCGAGCCCCCCAGCGCCGGCCGAGGGATGCCCGCCCGTCCGTCTCCCGCCCCCCCCCCGCTCACCTCCAGCTCGCCCCAGCCCGCGTGCGGGGGCCCCGGCGGCCACGCCATCCAGCTCCGGAGCCGCGCTGCCCCGGCGGAGGGAGCCAGCCAGCCCGCCCGCCTGCCGGCCAGCGAGGAGGCGGAGGCAGCCCGGCAGCCCTTCCCGGAGCGGCTCCCGCGGCCCCCGGCTTACTACTCTGCCCGCCGCTCACGTGAGCCGCCCGGCCGGCAGAGCGGGAGGAGGAGGAGGCTGGCCCGCCCCCCCCCCGCCGGGGAGGGGAGGGGGGGATACGGAGCCCGCTGACGTCACGGCCACAGGCTGCGCGGGGGGGGAAGAGGAGGGAGGCGGGCGCGCGTGGCCGAGCCCCCGCCCGAGCGCGCCCCCGCCCGCCGCGCACCGGCTGCACGTGGGGGGGGGGAGAAGGGGAGGGGGCGGGCCTTGAATTCCCACTTTGGTTGGGGGGCTTGAAGCGGTCCCTCCCCTCCTTGTCCTTCTCTCTCTCTCTCTCTCTCTCTCTCTCTCTCCTTTCTTTCTCTCTCCCTCTCTCTCCGTGCCCCTCCCTCTCCATGTCCCTCCCTCCCTCTCTCTCTCCATCTTTCCCTCTCCCTCTCTCTTCTCCCCTCTCCCTGTCTGTCTCTCTCTCTCCCTCTCTCTGCTCTCTCCATCTCTTTCCCTCTCCATCTCTCTCTCCCTCCATCACTCTCTCCCTCTTCCTCTCTCCCTCCCTCTGCATGTGTGTCTGCCCCCTCTCTCCATTTTTCCCCCTCACTTCTCTCTCCCTCTTTCCCTCTCTCTCTCTCTCTCTCCCTCCTCCCCCCCCCTCCGTTCTTTTTCCGACTCGTGCCCAGCATGCCGGGCAGCTGCCCAAATGGAAAAGCCCAAATGGAGATGCCAAAAGGAGAAGGTTGATACTTTTGGAAGGAAGGAAGGAGAGGGAGGGAAGGAAGGAAGGAGAGGGAGGGAAGGAAGGAAGGAAGATAGGGAAGGAGGGAGGGAGGGAGGGAGGAAGGAGAGGGAGGGAGGGAAGGAAGGAAGGAAGAACGGAAGGAAGGAAGAAGGGAAGGAGGGAGAAAGGAAGGAAGGAGAGGGAGGGAGGGAGGAAGGAAGGAAGGAGAGGGAGGAATGGAGGGAAGGAAGGAAGGAAGAAGGGGAGGAAGGAAGATAGGGAAGGAGGGAGGAAGGAAGGAGAGGGAGGGAAGGAAGGAAGGATCATCAGCTCTCTTCTGATGAAATAAAAAGTTTAAAACAGCCAAGACCAAAACAGGAGATTAAAAAGCTGCAAAACACATTAAAAAAAAAAAGACAGGGGAGTTGAAAATAATGGGTTTACCACCACCCCTCCCCATCAACCTTAGCATGTCCTGGAAATGCAGGAGTTAATCTTTTCAACTGACCTGGTTAACCTTTTAGGGTCTGTTTCCATTGTGCAGATACACTGCTCCTATACAAGGGAGCTCTCTTTAATGCAGTGAAGGGGGGGGGGGAGCTGCTTGGATGCTGCAATCAGCCTGAATCAGGCTTTTGAAGGGGAAAAAAATGTTGAGGAAGGGGAAAATTATATTTAAAAAGAAAATTGATGCTCATTTTTAATCCTATGCTCTGGTGAAGTGCTCAAAGTCCTTTCTAAGGAATATCAGGGTTTTGGTTTCATTTCTTTTTTCCTTTTAATCTGAACACTCCTAAGGACTCTTGTGCGTCTCTGTTGCCCACAATACATCAAATAAATTTCTATTTGCTTTTTTTCTTTTCTTTTCTTGTTCCCCTCTCTGCATTTTCAGCTGCTGCCTTTAAAGAAGCTGTTTTGGTCTAAACACCACAACCTGCCTTGCTTTGCCAGCTGACCTGGGCTGTGCATTTTGCAAGCAACTCTACACACACACACACACACACACACACACACACACACACCCTTTCCCCTTTGCAGACTTTTTACAGCTGCTTCTGTTGGGGGCATAACACCGTGGGAGGGAACACACATCACCACAAAACGCAAGGTGTCTTCCCCACCGTCAGGAAAAAAAAATAAACAAAAAAACCCAAAACACGACCGACCTGTTTTGTTTTTGTTTTGTTTTTTTCTCTCCCCACCTGTGCCCTTAAATTTTCCTCCTTTTTCTGGGCTTTAAGATTAAAAGCTCCACTTTTAATTAGCCAGCCAGTGCCACCTCGGCTCCTTTGTACCCATGCAGAATGCACAATACGGGGAGTCACGGTAGCCTAATGGATTGTGCCTCTTTGTGATGAAATATTCATTCGGATTGTCATTTGCAAATTTGAGCGTTCTAAATGCTAAATGAATACAATTATTATCCGGTGACAAGAGCCCAGCTGACAGACGAGCAGCAGCCTTGCTTCAACTATAGACGTTTCTCTCTCCCCACCCCACCCAACCCCTTTTTAAAATTGTATTTTACCTTTTCTGTCCCTTCAGATCTGAACTGAAGTCAATGTTTAACTCCTTTATGACCCTCCTTTTCTCCAGACCTACCTCCACCAGAGCTTTTGCTGGGAGATCCCAAAAGCTAAAACAGCAGTGAGCTGCCTCCTTTGGGGGGGTTTCCACTACCTTTTTTTTTTTTCATTCCCTCGGTTTGTGTTTTCTACCCAAAGCAAATAATAATAATAAGAAAAAAATGATTTTCTTGGAGGCAAGTGGGAAAAAAACACCAACAAAAAGACCAAAACCCCATTCCAATAATAATAATAATAATGATGATGATGATGATGATGATGATGGAAGAAGAAAGGAGGAGGAGGGGAAGAAGAAGAAGAAGAAGAAGAAGAAGAAGAAGAAGAAGAAGAAGAAGAAGAAGAAGAAGAAGAAGAAGAAGAAGAAGAAGAAGAAGAAGAAGAAGAAGAAGAAGAAGAAGAAGAAGAAGAGAAGGAGGAGGAAGGAGAGGAGGGAGAAGAGAAACAGGAAGAGAAGAAGGAGGGGGAGGAGGAGGAGAAGGGGAAGAAGGAGGAGGAGGAGGAGGAAGAAGAAGACTGTGGGGTCCTTGGCACTCTCTGAGTTTGCTTGTTTTCTTGCAGACATTTCATGATTCAGCCAGATAACATCATCAGTTCTAGAATGGAGTGGGATTTGCAAGGAGGAGGAGGAGGAGGAGGAAGAAAAGAAGAAGAAGAAGAAGAAGAAGAAGAAGAAGAAGAAGAAGAAGAAGAAGAAGAAGAAGAAGAAGAAGAAGGAAGAAGAAGAAGAAGAAGAAGAAGAAGAAGAAGAAGAAGAATAAGAAGAAGAAGAAGAAGAAGAAGAAGAAGAAGAAGAAGAAGAAGAAGAAGAAGAAGAAGAAGAAGAAGAAGAAGAAGAAGAAGAAGAAGAAGAAGAAGAAGAAGAAGAAGAAGAAGAAGAAGGCTTCAGAGAAGGACCTAGAAGTCAGGCCAAAAAGCATATTGTCTTCCCAATTCTACACTGATTTAATGCTAAAACAGCAGGAAATGAAGATATGGGACAAAGTTTGCCCTCTTGTGAAGTAGCACAACAGCTGCCTGTAAAAGTTTCATTAATAACTTTCGGTGGATTCACCGTTGGTGCAAAGTCTTCGGCCATCCCAATTTATAATTGAGTTCACTTGACTGTGGCTAATCCCCAACTTTTATTTTTTTTATTTATTTTTTTTTAAATTGCATCCACTCTTGCATTTCTGTAGCGACTTCTTCTGTGAGGGAGGGGTGATTTCAACCTGCAGGTGTGTGTCCCCCCCCCTTGGTTTTCTGCCATTCTCCATGGATGCATTCCTGCCCAATTAACTAACCTTAAGAATGGCTCAATTGGACCATAAGAAAGGCTGAGCGCCAAAGAATGGAGGCCTTTGAACTCTGGTGCTGGAGAAGACTCCTGCGAGTCCCTTGGACTGCAAGGCATTCAAACCAGTCAGTCCTAGAAGAGATCAACCCTGACTGCTCTTTAGAAGGCCAGATCCTGAAGTTGAAACTCAAGTACTTTGGCCCCCTAATGAGAAGGAAGGACTCACTGGAGAAGGGCCTAATGCTGGGAAAGATGGAGGGCAAGAGAAGAAGAGGACGACAGAGAATGAGATGGCTGGATGGAGTCACTGAAGCAGTAGGTGTGAACTTAAATGGACTCCAGAAGATGGCAGAGGACAGGAAGACCTGGAGGAACGTTGTCCATGGGGTTGCGATGGGTCGGACACGACTTTGCAATTAACAACAACAACAACAAAAGAATGGCTCAGAATTGGTGGAGGGGAAAATCCTGCAGCCCAAGGCCTTTATCCAATAAAATCACTTGGGGTTAAAGTGAGTAATCAAGGATTATTTGCAGAGGGGCCCATTCTGAGTTAACAACAAAGTCCATCTCTCAGGTTGGGGATTGACCAGATTTGACTCAGCAACAGTAATTTAAACATGCCTTTCCCTCGCTTTATCCAACATGACAATGCCTTCACCACATATATTATTTTTTTAAAAAAATAAAATAAAATAAAATTCAGGAGGATACAATAGTCCACAGCATAACGTTCTATCTGGAAAGTCTCAGAAGCCCAGCATTCAGCATTATTTAATTTTGCAAATTATTGGGGGATGAAGATGCATGCCTAAGCCCTGGAAATAAACCCACCAACTTTTTTTTCCAGAGACAACTTTGTAACGCAAAGCGTTCAAGCCGTGGCTCTCCCTCACAGTCATAACCCCCATTACACAAAAAAGACCCGGCGTTCTTATTAAAAGCGCCAGCAGAAAAATATAGGCATTCAAAAGAAATGAACCAGAATAACACTTGGCAATTAATTAATCTAGGGTATATGAATTCACCGATGCTTTTTGGGAAGGGAAGGTGTGGAAATTGCATAGGTTGAAATTCTAAAGCAGGCTGAATTTAGAGCTGGGCCTCGCGAAATGCAGTTCATTAGAGAATGGAGTCTTCTCATCCAAAATGCTAGCACCAAGTAGAAAAACCAAAGATATAAGTACATATTAGGGGAGACCCAGCTCAAAAACAGCAACTGTGAGAGGGACCTTGGAGTCCAGATGGACGATCACTTAACCATGAGCCAACCGTGTGCAGCAGCAGCCAAAAAAGCTAATACAATCCTGGGTTGTAGAAACAGAGGCATAGAATCAAGATCACGCGAGGTATTAGTACCGCTTTATCAAACCCTAGTAAGGCCACACCTGGAATACTGCAGCCAATTTTGGTCACTATACTACAAAAACAGATGTGGAGAGTTAGGAAAAAAATCAAGAGAAGAGCAACTGAGA